TGAGAAGCTGGTGTGTGTTTGTGCGTGCGTTTGCTGTTAGATGAGTGTTAGATTGTAAATGGCTGATGTTTAAACTCTAAGCCAGGGGAGTCAAACTCATTTTCACTGAGGGCCACATGAGCATCATGGTAGGGACTTTGATACAATTTTCWAACTTATTTTAGAGCTGTTTTTCCTTTTTGTACTCATAAGGCTCTATGTACAGATTCCAAAACTATTTAGCTTTTTAAAATCGGACCCCCCATTACGGATTTAGAGGTCTTTAAAGGCTGAAAATTAGGAAGCAAGTGCTCCATTGACTTTCATTGTAACATAAAAAAGGGCGGAGCTTCGTAGACATAGTGCACGCCACAATTTTGCAACAATTTTTCAAACCAAAGCAGAAAACTAACTAGATAAAACCTTAAGATAGATTTCGAAATGCTAAGCAGAGGCTAAGCATGAAAACGAGGGGGGAAAATCACAAAAACCTGACCCACCCACTGCCAGGATCAGGCAGCACATTTATCAAAGTCCCTAATCATGGTGGTCCTCAAAGGGTCAGCTGTGATTAACTTCGACATTTTAACTGACAAAACTCCAACCGTCACGTTCCTTGTCTTGTCAACTTAGCACCGCTAACAAACAGTAACTGAGCTCTACGTGGTATTTCGTGTGTAGAAACATCCTCTTAGATACACTGAAAAGTACTACATCTAACACTACCTAAATGTGAAATAAATAATACAGAAATACTATTAAAAGTAAAAGATAGTTTGTTGGATGGTTTTACTCAGTGTTGAGTTGTGGTGTGTAGTTGCCAGCTTACTCTCCCACTTTCCAACTAGGAATTCCCACTTTAGGGGTGTTCCAGATTAAACATTGAACTTGTAAGTGGGAAATTCCCACTTTCCACTGTAACGAGAAGCAGGAAAAGGTGTTGGCAAAATTTCAGTGAAATGCAGATTTTACAAGGTGAATTTTGACGGCTACAGACTCCAGCTACATTTGCACCCTGTGCACCTCGATCTAGTGGTAGGATGCTGTCAGTGCACGGGTAAAATAATCGATATGCTTTATGGTAAATGTTCTTCAAATATGGTCAATCCTGGCTTTAAAGCAGCTTATTTTAAGACAATACCATTTTGAAGCTCTTTTGAGCCACATAAAATGCCATGGCAGGCCACATTTGGCCAGCGGACCTTGAGTTTGACAYATTTAGGGAAAAGCTGCAGTTAACAGTGGGAGAGAGGAACAAATGGGAGGCAGACAGTTGTAATTTGATGCCTCCAGTTTATTTGTTATTTGCTCTTTCACACCTAAACACACACACACACACACACACACACACACACACACAC